ATACAGTCCTAAATAGTTGATAATAGGTGAGATTTATTGGCCTAACATACAAACAGCTCAGTGCTGTGTCTTAGTTCTTATTCATTCTAAAATGAGAAAGGGAGGCCACTTACATCATTTCACAGTACATGAGAAACATTTTAGAAAACAATAGGTGATGGTAAAAGTAACTTAGGCTGACAACACTGTGTTATTTTCTTTGTTTAAGATATATTTCTTATAAAAGAAAAGTGGTATTGTAAGATAAGATTTTAAATCCACAGGTGCTGCATGTTATATGCAATATTTATCTGGTTTGAATTTTTGCAAGTTCTAACAATTGTTTAATTGGTGCATAAATTACTTACATGTCTTGTTCTCCCTGACAGTGTTTCACTGAATTTTGTAAAGACTAATTACTGTCATCCCCAGTAGAGTTGTTCTTTTACATCAGCAATCATTCATAACTTACTAGGTGCCTGCAGCTACAAATCAGTCATTTAAGGAACCCTGGGAAGTGTTTCACATTATCCAGCCCATCTGGTAATTGAAGAATCTTATAGTTCTGACCATATTATCAACTTGAAACCCAGCCATTTCAGAAGCACTGTAATTAGCAGTTCCCTCAGCCAGTGACACAACCCTGAGTGTGCACATGTGCCACTGTGTGCAGAGGGTGCAGGGGCTTTGCCCTCTTTTTTGTCTGCCTAAAAGACTTGTAGGAGGACAGAAGGGGTAGTTGGAACTCTGATGTGAAGACATGTAGTACATACAAAAACTAAACTAATTTAGTTGAATACTAATTTAAACTAAAGGACACAGCTTTGTTCAACCGACCAGGCAGTTTCTGAGGAACAGGCTTTAATTTGGGCAGCAGTCACTCATCCACCAGCTTGAGAGTCAGTGGGGCTGACTTCCAGGAGCAGGAGTCAGATGTGGCCAGCAAGAAGAGCCACCTGTCCTGTGAGCCTGTGTCACCTGCCCAGCCCTACCCTGCTGCTCCAGCCAGGGCATGCATGGGAGCTGTCAACCCACACAAACACCACGTGGAACCTGCTTGAAAGGCACATTTTGCATTGCTCCATGGTAATAGTGGGTATATTTTGTAGCAGTAGTCAATTAAAAAAAAATTAATGGAAAAGGTGTGTTTTACTAGATTGCTCAGCCATCTAATCAAAACCAGTTTATTTTAAATGGCCCTTGAATGAAAGGCAACTAGAAGTTTACTGCCAAAATGCACAGTAACTTTCCTGTAGGTCTTGTAGGAAACAATATTTCTCTTTAGATTATAGCTGTATATTCGGTGTTTCATTTTCCAGTGCCTGTTGGAGTAATAAGAGGATAGAAAATAAAAAATGTTACTTATCCCTTTTCCAATTCCCAGTTTATTTCTAGGTGTTGGAACTGACCTTTTGCTACTCTAATACTTGTTACAAGGGAAAGAAACTCAGCCTGCTCTAGGATGAGGTTCAGTCAGGTAATGGAAGTGTGTACTGCATTACTTACAGTAGCAACATGGTAAACTGAATGACCCTTTCATTTTTTTTTTTTTCAAGGCTTTTGTTCATCTGCCTGAAGACTTTTTCTGGGCTGAACAGTTTTAACATCTTTTTCGTCCCCACACTTCCATTCCTATTCTACAAGTACCAAATGATAAAACTCCCATAGTCTGGCTCAGGAGGTTATTTCACAGCTCATTTCTGGTAATCATTTTGGACCACTTTTGTTTCCAAACTAGTAGTATTTCCTGAGCAGTTGTTCTTCATGCTGAGAGCTGCCACATTTGATTTTTGTTTGTCCCATCATCTCCTCTTTACTGCTTTCATTGGAACAAGTTCTGTGGTGTGAGTTCTTTTAATCTCCCCTCCCACGCTAAATTTAGTCAACCTTATGTCAGACTTAAATGTTGTAATATTGCATACAAGTGTTGGAACATTAGAACTGTACTAATGTAATGCAGTCATATACCATATACAATTTAATGGTTCTGCACCAGGAAACTGGATTAGGGAAGTTGAAGGCTGTTTTTTTCCTTGCTATGAACTGGAAGGAGCTGGAGATGTGTCTCGGCTTTTCCTTGGAGTCACGCTCCATAATTCACCGCTGGGAGACACTTTGTGTGTCCATCCCCTTGGCATGTTTTGCTGCCCAGTCTCAGAGCAAGCCATCTGTTATGCTCTCAGTATATTTCACAGTCACTTTTATTCAAATATGCTGAAAGCTGCTTAAGGAAGAGATTTTTTTTTTCAGACTCATAAGTCTGACTGTGTGGAATGAGTGATGTCTAGCTTCGCCCTCCAAGACTGAATGGTTTAATAATGGAATTAGGCCAGGCACATCCAAACCCAGAGTGCTTCCATGTCATTCCTGCCTGCCTGAATAGCCACAGTGATTCTTTCCAGCTTGTCATGATAAACCAGAGGAAGACGACAGCATTCATCTTCTGAAAAATGAATTTGACAGGCGCTTTTGCTACTAAATTAGCACTGGGAGTTTTGTCAGCAGTACCCAAGCTGGCTCCTGGTGCTGGCAAGTGAGTAACCTCACCTCTTGGCTTATTTGCAGGAACTGCTGGCACTTAGGTGAGCCATTTTCTTTTCATCTACTTTACAAGAATGCTCCAAAGGCAGTCCTTTTGAGTTTTTTTTTAAAGCTTAGCTTGGTAGTTGTGCTTCAAAGGCAAGGATGCTGACAGAGTGATGAAACTGTTGGTAAATAATTTAGGCCATGGTTGCCATTGGTTGTGGAACCATATTTTACCCTTTATGAGCACTGACTGAGTTGAAGTGAAGGTGAGACTTTATTCTAGAGTAAAGAAAGCTGCAATGAGTCAAGCTGTGGTGGCTCATGGGTGCTGTCCTGGCTTTCCTGCCCTGCCCTGCAGCAGGACAGGCAGGCAGGGCATGTGTGTTTCTGGGGAAGGAGGGGAGTGGGGTTGCTGGGATTCACAGCATTCCCAAAGCCCTTGCTCCCTCCCTCTGTGCAGGACAAGGTGGTTTCACAGTTGGCTCACTCTGGGTACTCCCTTCTGTCCCACAGAGGTGCTGTGTGAGAGCCAAGTGAATGGCCCAGGCTAAGCATAACAAACACTGTAGCTCCTCAAGAGGAGACCAGATGTTACTGTTCATTTGTCCAGCTTAGATATTGTTGCATTTCTTCTTCATTCTTGAAAAAGAAAGTATTTTACTTCACTCATTTTTATTGGTAACAAGAAAAAAACAAGCATATGATTTTTAATGCACTGTCTCCCTCGCTGTTCTTCCTGAGTGGCACAGCTGGTTTGTTTTCAGAGCTCCTCTCTTTGGTATTGTTTTTAACTGAGTAAATTTCATTTCATGGAGGAGGCAGGTGCTCATCCTGTTAATATCTTTATCATTTTCTTCACTGTGTGAAAACTGCTGTAATGGAAGCCAGCCTGGCAGAAAGGTCACCTCGTTTTAATGACTTGGTATCTGTGTTTTGGAGACAAATTTCAGGAGAAAATGCCCAGGAATGAGCATTTCCTCTAAGGAAAAAGGGCTTCAAGATTTCCCTTTTCTTCTGCCAGTGAGAGAAATTGATACCAGTGGGTGAAATTGCGGGGAAAAAAAGAGCTATTTATTAACAGGCAAAAAAAAAAAAAAAAAAAAAATGGAGGGGGGACACAAGGCACAGAAAAGGATTGAATGAATGGTAGGTCTGAATTCCCAGACACCCTCTACCCACACACACACAGAGCTGCACACCCACTGCCAGCAGAACAAAAAAAAAAAAAAAAAAAAAAAAAAAACCAAAAAAAAAAAAAAAAAAAAAAAAACCCCGAAAAAAAAACAAAACACAAAAAAAACCACAAAAATCAAACCACAAAAGTCCAGGGAAGAAAAATACATGGCCTGACCACATGGCTCAGAAAACAAAGTAGTGACTGGTCCCTTTTGCCTCTGGGAAGGAGAAGAGGCATTAATGCAGCAGTCTGGAGCAGAGATGGGAAACATGCTGAATTTCTGGTGTGGGTCTCCTCCTTGCAGCAGCTGAAGCTGATGGATTTTAATGTCCTTGCTCATGTTGGTTCAGCTCCTCTGGGGTCTCGAGATCCAGGCGGTCCCACTGGCTCCCCGGATGGGCCAAAAAGAAAAACAAGCCAAGCCAGAAACAGCTCAAGGGTGCAAAAAGCCAAAAAAAGCCACTGAGAGGATTCCCAGTACAGCCTCCAGGGGAAGGGGAAAAAACCTTCTTGCTTCAAGCTAGCAAAAAGCCAGTCCAACAAAAGGAACAATGCAGCATCCTTGGCCATGCTGTTCAGAGCACACCAGAGAGTGATTGCACAGAACTGTGCCTGGGGTTCCTGGGCTCAAACCCTCTCCATGACCATCTGAAAGATCCAGCAGCCATTTCTGGGCAGAAAGCAGATGATGAGCAAAACTGGAGTGGGTGTGCTTGTAGGGAAAAAGGCGCCAGCTGTCCTGTACCAGAGCTGCAGCACTTTGAAAGGTGTTGCCTAACCACAGGTCAGATGCTCTTACTCAAATAAAATTAAAAAAAAATAAAATAAAAAAAAAAACCACAAAAAACACAAAAAAATCCCCCAAACTTTAAAGTTATTAAACAAACTATTTTGGAGCTTCTGAAAGTTAACTATTCTTTGCAGAGTATTTTGGTGCCTCCCCCAAAGCTTTCTTGAGCCTTTGCAATATTTGTTGTGTTTCAGATGCAGCAGGTTTCCATAATTAAGGGTTAGTTTAACTGTCTCTCTCTATGGCTGTTAGTCTGTGCAACATATAATTAATGTAGAAAAAGCAATATAGAATTGGTTTATGCAGATGGACCACACAATTTTAAAGAATGTAGTAAAACTTGATGGTTTACCACTTAGAAACATTCTTAAATGTTCAGAGTCTATGGCATTTCCCCAGAGTGATTTATAATAGAGCAAGAAATGAAAAGCTTAAGAAAAAGGAGGAAGGTTTGGATGGGAACGTTAACATTTCTTGGCAAATGTTTACTGCTAGGGAAGCTTAGGGTTGTTTTCTCTTTCCTTCCAGGAGTGAGAAATTTCAAGGAGGAAATGGCAGATCTGGGTTCCTGAGAGGATTTTCTGAAGGCAAGCTCAGGGAGCAGCTTCATTTACATCACAGACCACATCCCTGGGAAAATGTAGCCTGGGCTTCTCACCTGGAGGCTTCCTGAGCTGTCTGAGCAGGGTGGCTGGTGCTGCTGCCAGGCTGGGGCTCCCTGCACTGCCCACAGTTCATAGAGGAGCAGTAAGAAACAGCCTTTTTCTCCTTGGAGAAAATGGAGTCACAGAGGTGCAACTAGAAATTTAAATTACTGTTCCTGAAACCCAGGGGTAAAGACCTGCATAAGATTTAAACTGTTCTGGCATTGCATAAGCAGTGCTATTTTGCTCTTATCAGATACACTTCAGGGTTGTGAAGTGATGTTTGAAATTCTCACAAATGGTAGACGCAGAGGGTCATGCTATTTATTACACTTAAAAAAACAAGTGATTTTACAGCAGGGGAAACAAATGAATTTGTGGGGGAATAATCATTGTTTAAATTTCAGATAACAGTTCTTACTTTTACATTCTTCCGAGCTTCCCAAAAATGTGGCTGACTGCTCCCAGTGGGCGGTTTTGGTGAGGCTCTGCAGGGTTAAGACCATACCCCATGTCAGATCTGCAGGGCACAGCTTGCACAGAGGAATCTTCAGAAGAGTTGGAGCCTCCAGAGAGCTGCTGGTTTGCTTACTTTTTGCTTTCTTTGTCATTCTTTCAACTCCCCTGCTTTGTGGGTTCTGGATTACGTATTGCGTAAAATAATTAGCTTAATTGTCAGATTTAATTACTAAGGTTTTAGTAATGGGTTGGAAATTCATTATGGACGTGTTCCATCTGTATGGCAACGGCTGTAGCTGTGTATTAGCAGTGTGTTTGTTGTAACACTTGTGTGTCTGATGGGCCATGCTGCCCAGGAGGTGTGGTTTGGGGAAACAGGAAAGCCGAAGCATGGCAGGTGTCCTCATTTTCTCTGAACTGCAGCTTTGGCCTGGATACACAGTGGAAAAGAAATGTCACACCCCAGAACTGTGACTGCAATGGGTTTTCAGGAAGGAAACAGGCAGTAGTGATTTAGAACAGCTCTGAAATGTCTGTAGGGAGCCATCAGCACCTAAGGGGTCAGCAGGCATTGGGAACTTAGGCAAGACAGAAATTCCAGTAGGCTTGCTCTGAAGTACTTTTTCTCTAATTATTTTGTTACTACTCACAAATCCCCTCCCATTCCTCTCCTTTCCCCCTCTGATGCATTTGTCCTAAGAGGAACCACAAGTCCAGGGCATGGTTGGAATTCTGGTGGGGAGTGGCACAGTTTAACTCAGGGAGGAACTGCATCCCTGCTGCTAAGAGCATGGCAAAAAGCTGAATCTTTCATCAAAACTGAGTAAAGCCCATAAGGAAAAACATACATAAAATTAATTGAGCTTTGCATACTTGGGGAATAATCACTGGAAGCAAGGATTCAGTCCTGCTGTGACTGCTGAGCAACAGTTGAAGAGCAACAGACAGGTTTGGAACCAGCAAAATTTTGAGACCTTTCCTGTCAGTGGTAATTGTTAAATCCATATGGCTCATCCTAGGCATGAATTTGATGAAATTACAAGTACCATGCACATCTGGCTTCTAAAATAACATGGGATGCTTCTAATAGAGAAGTGGATGAAATGATTTTTATTTGGAATGTGTTCACCTGGTGTTGGAAGTTACAAACACAATGTGCCCAGTCCTGGTCCACACTGGAAATCTGCTGCAGGGTGAGCGTTGCTTTTCTGTGAGACCCTCAGGCAGTGATACAAATTGCTCTCCATGAAGTTTTCTTGTGTCCAGGCATAGAAGTTCTTGCTCAAAGCCGAATGGGAAAGGGGCCCAGGAGTTCTGAAGAATTGTCATTTGGCTTTGTTGTTTTGAAGGGGAGAATGTCCTGGAAGGTCAGTTTTAATTGATGGTACCTACCAAGGAAGAGGTAGTGAGGAATAATATACAGTCCTGCTTTTGTCTTTGGAAGATACATCAATAAAGGAAAAAAAAATTAAAACATTGCCCTTTTTACTAATCTGGGCAGTTACCTTAGAGAAGTGAAATGCATATTTCAATTGCTACCAAGATTCCAAATATCCAAAGCCCAGAATTCTGGTTTTGTGTCAGTAAATAAAAATTACAGTATATATGATAAAATATTTCATTCAGAATATTAAATTAATGACATCAACATTCAAATATGTCAAGCAGAGATGATGAAAGCAATGCACTGAACAGAGACACAGAGAAAGGAAAGCCTTTATTTTTCCTCTGTTCGTTGACATTTTAACGCTGATCTTGGTGTGGTGCTGGCCACTCCCGAATTGCTTTTGTCTTGGTTCATTACTAATCTCCTGCTCTCTCAACCTTCCCAGGCAGGGGGTCAGCAGGAGGGAGCACGCCCTGCCTCCCTGGGAATGTCTGCAGAGGAAAGCAGGAGGGACAGGCTGTGGAGGGCTCCAGGTCTCCCCTCTGTCACTGCAGCACACACAGCTGCATTCTGAGTTCCCATGGAGGTATCTGGATGGTCATTGCCCTTCTTTCCTCATCACCTCTTGAGCTGGAAGTGCTTGCAAGGATAAAGTCAGCCCAGTTCGCTTTCCTCTGGTGCCCCTTTGGTTTTTGCTTCTGTCTCCCAGCTCTGAAGGAAAGTGTTTTCCTTGATGTGTTAGTCCTTCTTATTGAAGAATTTTTTTCTGATATTTGAAAGAACAAGGAGATGCAAACCAGGTCTCAGCACTTTGGGAAGTGGGATACACCCTGTTTCTTCCCCTTACTGCTGGACTGCAGTCTGCTTTGGGGTTGTGGGTTTGGTTCTCTGTATGGTTGAATAAGATGTAAAACAAGCACAAGGTGTTGGTCTCTCCTCCTGGAGTAAAAGCTTATCCAAAGTAAACAACAAACTAATGCCATGGGCTTAGAGGATGGGTTTGGAATGATCCCCAGGAAGTCTGCTCTGGTTGGCTGTTCCCACCCCTAATAAGGGTGGATTTGGAAAGCTCTGTGCAGCTTTTTGCTCAGTCATTGTCTACATGATTAACTTACTTACTTAAGAAATATCCAAGACATCAGAATGGCCTGGACATGTTCCTATGCCCAAGGAGCCAGTGTTTATCTCAAAACTCTGAGTGCTTGGGGAAAAAAATCCAATTAATCTTACAGGCAGATTGACTTGGCAATCAGAAATGACTTCGCAACAGAGATAAAGTGAAATATATATGGATGGGGGACCCCATTTAGCAGTATTTACCCTGGCCAAAATCCCTTTGGCTTTGCTGACAGTGCTGGTACAGTCAAAAAGGCAGAGTCACCAGGGAGCAGAAGGAATTCGGTGGGAAGCCTTCTTTTGTGCTCTGTGTAATTCTGAATTGGGAGTGTTGTGTTTTGGACTAAGTACCATTTTAAAGAATTCAGGCTTATAATTTAGCATTTCATCTGTTGCAGCAGTGTCACCTAGATTTTTAGACAAAACAAGTAAAATACTCTGTGCCTGATGTTTCCAGACCCACAGGTAGAAGGGCATTTTCCTTTTAAAGCCCAGTTCACTGACACTGTTAAAAGCCCAGAGTGACACTGTTTGAGAGTAGGAGATTAGAAGACAGGGAAGGAGCCAGCAGATACGACAGAAAATAAGGTAAATGGTCTAACAGGTCAGAAGATTTGACTGAAAAGAGTCAGAATGGGGGTATATATATACATTATTAAAATTATATATGTGTTTATATAGCCTTAAAATGGGATTGATTTTTGTCCCTCAACTTTTTGTTTTTGTAATGTCATTAATGAACCCCTAAAATTAGTGTTCAAAATATGAGGCTGATAGTTAAGGAGTCTGTCCAGAATCTATTAATCTATTTTCTATTAGTGAAAATTTAGCATCAAATTGATACTTCAGTACCTGAAAAAAAAACTAAAACAGAAGTCCTCACTATTATTCCCATTGAAGAACTTACTGTGTAGGTTCAAAATTGATATTCCAAACTGTAAATAAAATTTCAAAACCCCCAAAAATGACCCAAAAGTCCATCCCTGTTGTAGGGGCTGGAAATAGCTTCATTGTGTTCAGTAAGTTGTGCTGTCTGCATGACACTGTAATGAACCAAGTCATTTACTGTGGGACCTCAGTACGGGCTCACATAAACTCACTTACTGTAGAAAACTGTTACCTGCATATTTACCAATGCACAGATCAGAAAATAGACCCTAATGGAGCTAAAACCATGCTGAAAATAGTTTCTATTTAGTATTAAATTCTTGCACATCTGCTCAGGTTGTAGCATTCTAGAAATTGGTTTTTTTCTGTGATATTAATAACACATACACATAATAGTGAGCTGAGTGCCTGGTGTTCCTGCCTGAATGCCTTCAGGAATCTGAAAGCACAAACATGAAGAATCTGTCGTAAGGTTTTTTGTACATATTCAGTTTCTTTCATTTTAGTTTTTTATTTGCTATCAGCTGTATTAGTGGGTAGATGAGATTTCCTTTCCTAAAAAACTTAGGTGTGCAAGTACATGAAAGAGGTGAATGAATTGCTCAGCTTTGCTTTGTTGTTCCCAGATGCCTTTTTTAACTGCCAGCCTCACAGATTGACTTTGGGACCTGAAATTCTAGATAAATCTTTGTTCATAATAGCTTTCCTGCAGGCCAAATGATGCTTTCATTTACACCTGTGCATCTGCTGCCAGCTGGCAGCTGGGGCAGAGTGAGCTGGAAGAGGCTGTTTATGGACAGAGCGTGTTTGGTGATGTATCAGTGAGAAGCAACAACCCCAGAGCACAGCCACAGCACTCGGGGCAGCTGTTCCTGCCTTTCTGCTCTTCTCCTCCTGGTCTTACACCCGGGGGTCCTGTGCAGATGATGGCCCTAAAACCACGTAGTGGGGACAGAAGGACCAAGCATGAAACTGGGAGATATGTGAGGAGGAGAGGGCTGGGGTTAATGTCCCCCAGGTCATTCCTTGCTGCCCTTCCCTTTGTGCCTGAATTCATTGTAACAACAAGTGAGCACCCCTGGAGAGGGTCATTGTGCAGAGTTTGAGAGATCCCAAGGAAATGTGTTGGCTGCAGCTGTGGTGGGCTGCAGGGGACAAGGAGAAGTCGTGAATGGTATTACCCTGCAGGCTGAGTTCTCAAAATATATTAAGCAGTGCTGTCAGGAGGAGGCTGATGGATGGTTGGAGAATGGCAGCAGGTCCATCCCAGCTGCCACCCACCCCCCCTTTCCGCTGTTCTGGCCAGAGAAGACAGCTCAGAGGGGGCTCCTGCTGTCCAAGTGTCCAGAAGGACCAAGTACAGGAAAGTTTTGCTCAGTGATGCTGCCCTAGAGATGAAGAAATTCAGTTGGAGGAAAACTCAACTTAGCTATCAGATTCTAGGAATCCTGTGTGAAATTCCAGGGGGTGTTTCTCTGAGTTTTAATGTTTGTCTTCATGCTGTATCCCCCTACCCTGCACGCCTAGGAACAAGAAAAGTCACTTCAGTAGGCAACCCACTCTGTAGCCCACCTAAACCACTCTGTAGCCCACCTAAACCACTCTGTAGCCCACCTACCCTCTCATCTCTCCCATCCCATCCCTGGATTTGTTCTGGCGCTTCAGAGGTTTGGGGAGTGATAACACATCTCCTACAGTGGCTGTAGAATGCATAATATGGAAATCCTCTTTCCACATTCATATTTCTCAGAAAATGGGTTTGTAGGATGACATAGCAAGAGTGCTGATTGTAGGTGGGGCAAAGGGGTGTGACATTTCAGACAGAGCTTTGTCAGCGTTGAAAGATGGTAACAAGAGTTTGTGATTGAGAAGAGCTGCACAATGGTGAGTGGAGGCTCTATCTGTGCTATGAGAGTGTATTTGTGTTCAAACTGAATGCTTTAGAAATGTGTTCAGAGAGCATCAGCTGTGTTTGCATGCCAGGAACAATGATGAATCCTAAATTCAGTATGAAAATAATTCAGATCATCTCCAGTACCCATTTACTGCTGGTGAAGATTATGGTGCTTAAGAAAAAAAAATCACTTTCAACAAGTCCAAAATATAAATGGTACTAAACTAATGGGATCAAATTCATTATATTGAGCTTAATTGCAACTTCATGGCTCCAGATTTATTCCAATGTAATTCTGTTAATACCAAAACTAGAATAATAAAATGATGTGTCAGGTCTATTGTTTGTAAATCTCCACTAGAGATCATTAGCTTGTATACAACTGCATTAAAATATAAATGACATGCTGCTGTAATTTTTTCGCTTGGTTTGAGAAAATCTGCATATGTTGGAGCCTCTGGGTAATTTAAATTGAAGTAGTTGAGAAAATGTCATGTAACAATGATATGCGGAATGCAGTCAAATATTAATTGTCTCAAACAGCTCAGCACAATCTGTAGTAATGTAAGTAGGTGAGTCATCAGTTCTGTTACCCTGTCAATATGGTGAAACTTGAAAGAAAGCTGTAGTGTGGTGCAAAAGTTGCTTTGAATCCATTTAATTGCTAACTAGGGTAAACAACTTTGGTGTAAGACTGAACAGGCACACAGGAGACTCTTGTGAGTGGTTCCAGCTGAGAAAGGGAGTTGTAAGCAGTGGAAATGTTGAATGAGGGTGTGTTATTTCAGTGTGGTAGTGTGGAGAAATTGTGGTGAGGCTCCAGCATGCTGGGCACAGTACAAGAAGAGATGACAGGGAGTACTTCACTGTCCCACACAATGAATATGTCACACAACAGGTAAAAGGCAAATGGGAGAAGGGCAGAGGGGGCAGGCAGGCAACCAGGGACCCATTGGGTTCAGCACAGAGTGACAACATTTTGGTTATTTGCATGCTTCTCATTCATTCTCTTCCCCTTTTCCCCTCCCACTCTCATCCTTAATTAGCTAACCCAAAATAAAAAAGTGTTTAAGAACAGCTGTGAAAATGTACAAGTTTGAATTTTAGGATATTTTAATCAGTATGATTGGGTTTCCCACCAAGAAATCTCCTCATCTTCTGTCATGCTGTTAA